GAGGTGGTGGCTGCATGTTGTGCCCTCAACAACCTGTTGGGAGAGGAAAGGGGAGGCCTTCCTGTCGGGGTAGGGGACAGGTGCAGATGGTGAGGAGAGGCCATTTTAGCAGCCCCGGATGGCTGCCATCTGCCAGGCTCACCAGGCTGATGTCCAAATCCGAGAGGCACTGAGGGATGCTCAGAAGGAGCCCACTGACTCTCCCCAGGGCCTCCTCCAAGGGGGGGTTGGCCTGGCCCACCCCTACCTTTCCCTCCACAGCCCTCACTCTCTTCCCATTCAGAACACATAGAAGACCCACTTTTCTTTGTAAACAGAAATTTGCTTTATTACAAACACTAGCAGTAAAGAAAATGCGTGAACAGTTGAACAAAACTTTCTCTTAAAGGGGTTGGGGGAAAAGGAGGAAGAGAGGGCTGGAGGAGCTGGGGCCTGGCGTGCAGGAGGAGGCAAGACGAAGAGCTCCCTCATTGTGGCACAGATCTCCATGCGCAGGTGGACCAGCTCATCCAGCAGTCTGGTGCGCCACTCGGCCTCTGCCTACATCCTCTGCTGGAGGGTCCTGTTGAGGTCCTACAGAACCTCAACGTGCTCCCTTAGCAGGTCCGTGTAGACCCTACAGTACCTGCAGGTGCCACAGGTCCAGGATGGTGCTGGGATGGGTGTGGTGCTCCCCTGTTGGGTAGAGGGCCTGGCTGTGGAGGAAAAGAGGAGACAATCACTGTTTGTGTGCACCCCGCTGTCCCTGAGGGCATGCCATGACCGTCAGGGGCTGTCCTTTGGACAGGAGACTCAGGGGCGTTCCACGTAACCCCGCTTGTGAGTTGGGCAGCGGCCGGAAAGCCTCCCAGGGGCCCCACAGTGGCAATGGGACTAGCTACCCCCCACACTGCCAATCCGCCCATGTGTGGTGACCCCTCAAAGCACTCACCTGATGATCCCTCCCCAATGTCCATGGACACCTGGGAGGCCTCTGAGGTCTGGGTCTCTGCTGCCTCCTCTTCCTCATCCCAGTGCA